AAAGAGAGGAGGAGGCTGACAGCCCAGCAGAGCATCCAACTCCAGAGGAGAGTTCCAGGGCCAGAACACCGGAGATGCTGAACAGTGGCTTCAAATGCATGGCTTGCTGCTGGGTCTACCCCAATTTGGAGGTCCTGCAGATGCACGGGGGGGAGAGTACAAAAGCCACCATCTTTGACATGTCTATACAGGAACTCTTAACTGACAGTGAGTGCAGCATGGACAGCAAAGCCCAAGAGGAAAGGGAGGAAGAGGCTGACAGCCCAGCAGAGCCTCCAGCTCAAGGAGAGTTCCAGGGCCAGAACACCAGAGATGCTGAACAGTGGCTTCAAATGTATGGCCTGCTGCCAGGTCTACCCCAGTTTGGAGGCCCTGCAGATGCACGTGGAGCAAGGGGTCCACGAGGGCTTTAGCTGCCGCACTTTCCATTCTGCCTTAGACCGGCTAAAGAACAAAAGGAATAGGAAAGGGAAGAACGAAATCAAGATGACAATATCTGTATGTAACAGGAAAGAACACTTTGATGAGGAAACATCCTCATCCACATCAACAGACTGATTGCAGCCCCTAAAACAGAGGTGAAGCAGACCAGACTTTACTGAGGGAGCTTCATCTACCCTAAGCAGCCATATTCCCCACTTTACTTCCACATACCTAACTCCCACCACACTGCCAATAAGATTAGAGAACCCCTTTTAACAATATCCACGCTCTACCCAGAAGGAAGGACAATATGACAGACCACACCACACAGAAGAGCAAAATGTTCTCTTACAAATTAAAGAACAATGAAGACCAGTGCTTCATCTTTCCCACTAGAGTTGAGAAAGGGAGACTTAGACCACACCACACAGAAGAGCAAAATGTTCTCTTACAAATTAAAGAACAATGAAGACCAGTGCTTCATCTTTCCCACTAGAGTTGAGAAAGGGAGACTTGCTGAAAACAAAAAACTGCCATGAACTGTGCTATAGAAGAGGTTAAGGCCCCGGGAATAGGAAAGAGCCTCAAAATACTTGGGATCCAGGGTCCTGAAAAAGTTGGGATCAGTAGCAGGGAAACTGACCAGAGATACCTCCCAAGGGTCAATAATCACTGTGGTGAAGAATTTCCTTCAGAGGAATAGACACATGGATGTGAAACACTTGACTGATAACAATGTAAGGAGAATGGGTCTTATCCATGCCTTACGACGGGAAAGGAGCAAAGACCTGTGTAGCAGTTAAGCAGAACAGAGGAGGTTGGCCCCACCATTACTGGATAAAAGACTCACAGACCCTCCAGGTTTATTCCCTGGCCTGAATCCCATCCAAGAGGCACAGGACAAGGCAGAGACAAGCCTCTGTCCCAAGGAAGGGTTGACATGCAGGCCAATCATGGTTCTGCCCTTTCCCTTGAAGTGACTTGAGATATTGATGTCAATTTCATAATTTTCCTGCTTAGGAGAAGATTGCTGAATAGTTTCAAATGAGTCCACAAGGAGTGGAATTCTTTTTTTTTTTTTTTTTTTCCCTTCTGAAAAATTTCTATAGTATACTAAGAACCAGGAGTGAAGTCTGTTTCCTCAAAGGTGTCAAGTATTACTGGGGAAGGAGAGAAATAGGGGCTACTCTTCTGTCATGGACCATTGTTGGCAACTTTTGACATGATTTGCTTCTTGGAGGATCCCCGTGTTCTTTTAAGAAATTTCACAATTCTCAGATCTTATTATTTCTTTTGGTTACAGCCTCAAATGTCTTGTTCTAAGTGACAGCAGAGAGGTGTTAAACATAGACAAAGCTGTAGAGTTTGCAAAGCATGGTTTATACTATAGTAAATGAAAGTATATCTTGTTTAGGGGTGCCACTGTGTCCTTGCACCATCTTTCTTTTTCTTTCCTGCCTTTGGAAAAAGCTGCCAGAGGGAGGAATTTTTTGCCCCCTTCAAGACCCAGGCTATTTCCCACGTGATGACTGTCATCCTCCTGGGTCTTGCTCATCTTCCATGTCCTTGAAAAGCAACACTTGCTGTTCACTGCTGTCCAGTCCACTTTGAATTCAGGCCAGTCGTGGAAACAGCCATGCCTGGAGCTAATGAGTCTGTCCTACAGTCTGGTGTTTGCTATGGCTTCAGAGGTCTCTTTGCTTCTATATGACACCAAGCAGCTTTTCCCTTTCAGTTATGTGTCTAATATACACTACCACACCCTGAGTGATATTTCATGGCCCAATGACAGGGCCTTCCTGGCCATTTCATCCATGGATGGCTATTGTTCATTTGTGACATTTGAGAAAGATGAACTTGGAATTCCTTTGAAAAAGAAGCCAGTTTTGAGCATGAAAACTCCTGAGAAAGCAAAGAGAACAAAGAGTCAGATGCACCAATGGTCTTTGCCGGTACCCAGACCAGTAAAGGGAAACCCCACCAGCAGAATCAAAGACCCCAGCAGTCCCTGCACAACCCCTCCTCCAGCCAATCTCCAGCCCCAGTAGCAATCAAAGACACTCACTCAATCACTCCTGGTGTCAAAAACTCCTTGACAGGGCCAACAGAGAAGACCCTATAGCCCAGTAGTCAAACCACAAAAGCCCAGCCATCCTGCAGGGTTACTCTGAACATGTCACAAGCCTGGAGCAAAACAATTCCCCGGAGAATAAACTTAATACCCTTAAAGACAGATACTTCACAAAATTCTGTACCACTCAGCGTAATTCCCAACCCTTCCATAGAAGAAATTCAGTCAGAGATGTCTGGAGACCCGCAGGGCAGTCCTCCAGAGCTGACACAGCCCAGACTTGGTGAAAACAATAGAAGTGCCCAAAGTCTAGACCCTTGATAGGACTTCAACATCATCTTGAATGCCTGCCAGGTCTGGGAGCCCCCCATGAGCAGGGGGAGAGCTGAGGCCGAAGGCAGATGCCCAAGGCTAGTGGCATTCCACACAGCAGAACAGACATTGTAAATTGTTTGTGTAACAGAAGATACACATGTACTGACTTTTCTCCAGAAATATGTATACTCCTGTATTCAGTATCCATCTTAACTTGGGATGTGAACATTTTATTAGACTAAATCTTTCTGATGAGTTTCTGAAACTGGAGCAGTTCAACATTACCTAGTGTGAAAATCAGTAAATCCTCCCTCGAACTACTCATGAAAGTACAGACACTATATGGGTGGATTCCTTTGAAAGTTAGGATTAGAAACCCCATTTAGGGGTGCTTTATCTAAATTGGAGTTTGGAATTTGAAGAAAAAATATATTGTGGGTATTATTTGAAAATTTCACAAATGTAATGTTTAAAAATAGGTTTGCCCTTGATGTATGAAGAACTTAAATGAATACATATGCATGCTCTGGTACACATATGATAACGTCCTTTCACAATCAAACAAAACAAGCTCTTGTGGGATATCTTGCTGTGTCTTCAAACCCACTGAAAATGTAAACACCTAATGAGATTTAAATGTTTTAGCAGGTCATATTGTCTCAATAAAAAGCCCATGAAAAGTAGTTTAATTTCCTTTTATGTGACTAAGTTACCCTCAATAGTAGAGTCAAAATAGGCATCTACCTTTTTTTGCAGAAAAGTAATATGAATGTAATAAAATCTAGTCACAAATGCAGACCTCACCTTTAAGGCACAGAAATGATGCCTTTCACCAGCAGCCACTAGAATAATGGCACCTGAGCATATATCATCGGTCACATAGTCAATACAAGAAAGGAATTTATTTGTTAAGCCCCTTCTGAAATTTCTAAAGAATAACATAACACAAAGTACAAGAATATACAATTTTCTATCAATGTATATAATGTATATAACCCCACTTTACTAAAATATACTTGAGCATTTTTCTCATATAATGAAGTTTATGATCATTAAAATAGATTTTATTACTGAATGAACTATTTTCTGATATCCTCTTTACTTCAAAGTCACAAAAAAGATGAATATTTAAATGAACTGAAAGTCTTAACTTTCTCCACACTTAAGGAAACAAAGTTTTTCAGATAACAAACACCTCAGTTGTTCTGGGATGAATGTTACCATGGTAATTTAGGTAATAGTAACAAGTGACAACATTTCCTTAGCAATCAAGAATTGATTACTTATTCCAGGAAATATATAGGAAAAAACAAACAATAGGCTCGCACCTGTTTTCTTCCTTTATCCTTTTAGCATTGTTATTCTTACACTAACTAGATAAAGGCAGGACTGTTTCCTCTTGATGATAGCTTTACAAATTGCTGTAATGTTTCTCAAAGTGAGTGCAATGGAAGTAAAATTTTGAAATTACTAAAAAAAATAGTGCAGTCTCCACCTCACCCTTACCCTCACCCAAAAGCACAGCTGTTCCATTTAGAAAAGAGGAAAGACTGAATACCAACTTAGGAAAAAAAGAAATGTAATTTAAAGAATTTTCTGACACAGTAGAAGGAGCAGAAAGATTGGTGAAATGTTGCAATGGAAAGAGGAAAGTCAAGAATGGTAAAAAGGTCACCTCCCAATGTTTCTGCATCTCTCATACCCACATTTCATAGGGTGTGGTTTAATCATGCAGAACTGTATGAAGAAACCATTAATACTATTGGTTCTCTTTATAGGGGTAGACAGGACTGGGGATTGGGAGTTAGAGGCAGGGATTGCAAGTCTTTCAAGATCTCAATTAGCTCTCTGCTCCATTCAGCAGCAGGATGTGTGAGCAATTTTGCATGATTTTAGCAAAGAGAGATGTATAGGTCAATTATCAAAGTTAGTTCAGTTTATCTATTGATATTACAAATAATGCTTTTTCATAAACAAACGTGCAAATGTTATCTCATATTTGTAAATGTGTATTTTCAGATCATTGTCCTGGAAGTTCAAACACATAAGTTCATCTCTAACTTTATTTGATGTTCACAATTTGGTACTCTATTAGCCATGATTATGCCATCCAAAGAAATGCTGTTTTACAGAAACAATTCAATTTTTTTTAAGTATGTACAGTACCAGTAATCTTAAAAAATGGTAATAATACCTGTGCACTAACCCATTATGTAGTGTTCATTCAATGAGATTTTTTGTAGACATGTACTGCCATGCTTTCCCTGAAAAAATGAAAGTAAATTTAATTAAAACTATCTATAGCATATACTTTCAACTCATCATTTCTCACTGGAATAATTCTGATTATATATTCACTTATAAAGATCACTAATTTTAAACAAAATGAGAATAGTGCTTAAAAGTCTCTCTTACAAAAATAGCTGCCCCCCAATGATATTGTCATATGAAATATAAACAGAAAAATAAGCTATCCTTATAAGCTGATAGTACCAGCCCCCTCTCTGGCTTCAAAACAAGTTTAAGGCCATGACACAGTGTAGCTGGGAACTGACATATTATATGTAAGAATACCACTGAGCTCATATGGCACTCACTCAAGGGTGACAAAAACTCAAAGAAAAAATGGGACTTCCTGCTGTTAAAAACCACCACCGTGTTACAAGAATACAGTGTCCTGTATTAACCCTACACATGCAAAAGCGTCCAAGGAAGATGCTGAAAATGAACACATCTCAGTATGGTGAAATTAACAAACTCTGTAGCTAAATGCTATGTCAACCAATATAAATTGTATTTGGAAGGGGCTGGGGAGTGTAGCTAATTTATCTTGAAGTGTCCACTTGTTGCTTTGCCCTCCACAGATTTGTCACCCCACTTCCCCTGGGTGACAGAGCCACAAAGGATTACTCAAAGCCCATCTCTTCTGGGCAGTGAGAAGCCCTGATGTGGTTAATCTCCCTGGAACCCTCAAGCGAGAGGCATCCCTTCCTTGGGAAATTAACCCCGAATTGGGGTTCTCTTCCTGCACTTATTTTCCAGACCAGGAAGTTACAGGAAGAGAACATAAGTGGGGTTATAGTTTAATATAGGCTGCTAACTTTCAGTGAAACAAGCCAGATGACATTCTAGTAAGGCAATTAAGTAGTCCTATCAACAAAAGCTTGATCTTAGAAAACATTCCTTCTACCTCTATAGTTTTCCAGCAACTTAGATATCAATCAGTAACTAATCTGTCTTTAAGCCAGCAACCTTGTGGTGCCACAATTCTTATCTTGCAACAGAGACTCCATAGCCTGGGGAAAATTTCCTGTCCTTGCAAGGTCAATATTTGAAACCACAAGGCTTTGGAAAACCAGGCCCTGTGAAGTATATTTGCTTTATAGTATATTCCACATCCAATGAAAAAATAAGAATGCAAATATGGATGACCCAGTATTTGTAATTTATTTAGTTTATTTTTTTTTTTCTAACACTTTATAGGATTTTTCAATAAGAAATAATGTGACTATGAAAAGAAATTATTTCCAGGCTTAGAGAAAGGAAGCAGAAAAAGGATAAATGGAAAGTTCTCCTGAGCATGTATAAACAACAGGATTCTCTCGGGATGATACTTGGACTAGTTTTACTTAGTATTTTATAAATATCACTAATTCTTCCAAATAATATTAAACTTTCCAGGTAATCAAATGTCACACTAATGGGGATAAAATGAAGGTTAATGTAAAAAATTCTCAATGTATAGAAAAATAAAAGCTAATTTTCAAACTGTTTGTAATATGTTTGCAAAGTTTATTTCAAAATCTATTAACAACAGATTGGGTTCCAAAAAAAAAGTTAAGCCAAAAAACTATATTTCAAAGTCAGTGTAAAGTTCAGAATGTTGACTAAAACCATCAGAGTAAGAGTGTTTGACTAAATGTCTGTAGACGGAATATCAGTAATGCCAGCCATTGTAAAGTTTGTTAGAAGAAAAATTACTGTTAATGTACCACTGTACAAAGCCAATATTTGTTCATTCTTGGAAATACTTGTATTATCCTGGCCACTGATCCTCAGAAAAGCTAAAACTTTTAAAGAAGCAGTTCTACTCCTTATAATTCCTTGAAACTATATCCACATACACATTTTTGTCCCTGAAACGAGGAATGTACAATATCTCAGAGTCAAAATAAGCACATATAGAACTACAAGAGGGAATTTCACTTAGTCAAAGAAAAAAGTTAAACTTATATTAGGAATTCTGTTTATTATTGTTACTATGCTGTTATTGGTGGTGATGTGTGGTTTGAGGTAGTTAAATTATCTTATTTTTAATTCATCCTTTTTTGGAATCCTACAACTCATGCTGTTGTCATGATAAAGCAGCATGGTAAAAGACTTGACTGTTGATGAAATAATTTTGAGGCTACTTTGGTGAAAGCTTTCTTGCTCCCTGACTTATTCCATACCATGCTCATGAGAAGACATGAGTGACAGATTAGATCAGTTCCTTATCAGACTTTAAACATAAATTTGTTTTCTTTTTTCTTATGCTGTTGCTTCAATTCATTTCTATTTGGTTGTTCTGACTGTTACAATCAAGTGTGAGATCAGGTTTGAGTGGAGAGAAAAGAACCATGAAACCATGATCTTGAATTTCAGGTAGGATTAAGATATGACATGAAAAGAGAAAACAGTTTACCACGCAGAGATTTGAAGCCAAATCTCAGGCTAGTAATCTAGTATTTTACCTGGTTTGTCTTCTATTCACACCTCTCCCTCTGTGACATGAGGCAGCTCTAAGCAACAGTTGAGGACTGCAGGAATTCGATTTCAGCCATCTCAAATATAGTTTCATCTCTTTAGGACTAAGAAGGGAAAAAAAAATAACATTTCTGCTACAAAACACAATGTAAGAATTAAATGATAGAAGACTTTAAAATTACACTGGTTTTGATGTGATAAATATAAAATGCTGAAGGGAAAAAAATCAATGTCTAGGATATTTTGACAGCCAAAATACCTTTAAGCAATAACAAATGTCACACCCATATTAGTTAATTTTAGTCACTTCCAAGTCAAGATCACAGGAAGTTACTGTGACTACAAAGAGAATGAGCATCTACTTAAAGTGAGCTGTTTAGTAACTGTAATTCACTTTGCCATGTTGTAATACAGATCCTGACAATGGTGAAACTGAAAATTACCAGGTGGAAACAGCAAACTCAATACAGAAAATCCACTCTTGCCCTCAAAAATAAATTAATCAGTCATAATTGTCTACACTCTCATCACTCATATCACTTATCACTGGAAATTTCTGTAACTCTGAGGTAAAAATAAATAAATTACGAAATTAGAGATACTGCGCATTTTTTTGATGATTCCAGAATCAGGAACTTACAACTGAGATGAGGATACCAGATTAACACACATAAAATAGTAACAAATAAAATGCAAAACAGTTCTGCTCTGAGATACAGCAGTGATTTCTAATGCCAGTTGAGAGAAAAAAAAAAAAAAAGAATCTCAGAAACAGAGCTAAAAGAAAATGGAATGGTCAAAAATAGAAAGTTGTCATATATTAAGCTATTTTTTCTTCTAAACATTAGAAATTTTAAATCTTTTCAAATGTAGCACTGTCTTAGGTGAGAATTTTTCCAAAGAAATATTCAGTTTGTTAGTATAAAACCAATGCAGATGTCAAATATCTGATAGTGGAAAAGCAAGATTATATTTAGCTTTAACTCAGAATTTTTTGGAGAATTGAATTTATGTTTACTTACAAAGGCATATGTTCACTTTGAATTTTAGTATGTTGATGAGAAAAGGAGAGAACTATTTTAAAGTAACTATCATAAAGGCGACAGGAATTGGAAACAAGTAACATTTGTTGCTGAATTTCAAAGAGTATTTAATATATATAAGTTAATATGCATGAAACTGTATTATCCACTAGAGTAACTGACTCTAGAAAAATTGAAAATACCTAGTATAAACACATACTTCTTAGTTCTACCAAGACAGTCTAATTTGGATAGCACAGAATTTAACTAAATCAAATTTAATTCACAGAGACATATTTCTGCATTGTACATGTACATTGTAAAGATATCATTTAATCTGTCACAAAAATTCTTTCCATTTCTGTTTGGTTCCCAGCTAGCAAGTGAGTAAACTATATTAGCAGTTGAAGCTGACATTTTAAAAGTTAGTTCTTTATCATAATAAAAGATTACACTTATGTGAGGCTGAAGACAAAAACTACTTTCTTGTTGCAATTTCAAAGTTGCCAGAAAGTATGGAGTATACTATAAAGCAAATGTATTTCACAGGGCCTAGTTTTCCAAAGCCCTGTAGTTTCAGGTTTAGCCCAAACTTTTGGAATTACATATAGAAATGTTAACCTTGCAAAAGACAGGAAACTTTCCCCAGGCTAAAGTCTCTGTTGTGGATATAGAATTGTAACACAGCAAGGTTGCAGGCTCATGGACAGACAAGTTACTTGACTGATATGTAAAAATGCTGGGGAAATTGCTGTAGGGAAAAACAGTGTTTGCTAAGATCAAGCTTTTGTTGGTGGATCAACTTAACCTTTTGCAAATTGCATTATGGAATGTCACTTTGCTTATTTCAGTGATGTTACTAATTTTCCATTTGTTAGCCATAATTCTGCCGATAACCTTGTGTTTTTGTAATGGTTAAATCAACTGAATTTTCTTGTAAAACTTCCTTGTCTTTACAATAAAAGGGAGAGGCTAACTTTGGAGGCAGCTGCCACATTCAGTTTTGCCTCTCATAATGAGGAAATTACTCAAGTGCAGTCCACTTGGGCCTCATAGCATACATAGTGCTTGAGTATTCGCATAATGCTTTTCTTTGTATCCATTACAAAGGGAAAAGAGGTGTAACAAGAAAGACTGCCACATCCCCATATCAATCTCTACATGCTTGCTGGCACCTAAACTTCCTGTATGGGAGTTTATAATCCTTCAGTTTGTTCCTTTGATTACATTAGAATTAAAACCCACCTGCAAAGAATAACACTTTGAGAAACTATCAGGTAAATATCTTTCAGAAAAAGGGAGTTTCAGATTCTCATTAAGAATATAATTTGAATGGAAAATAGCATGAGGATTCTGTGATTTAATATGAAAAAAAAGAATAACTGGGGTAGGAATGAGGAGCAACTTCTGAGAGGATATCAAAAAACTGTATTCAACAGCCACAGAGGACTTGGGTGTATCTTAGGAGACAGGTTGAAAAAAATAAAACACATTGCCAGAAAATACAAAGTATATTACAAGGTTTAAAACACTCATATTTTCAGGTCTTAAATTTATGCCTTAATTCATTTTGAGTTTATTTTTGTGTCTGGTGAGAAATATGGGTCTAATTCTAACCTTCTACACATGGATATCTAATTTTTCCAGAACCGTTTGTTAAAGAGGCTGTCCTATCCCTGATGTGCATTCTTGGCACCTTTGTCAAAAATCAATTGGCTATAGATAAACAGGTTTTTTTTCTGGGCTCTTTATTCTGTTCCGTTGGACTATTTGTCTATTTTATGCCAGTACCATACTGTTTTGGTTACTATAGCTTTGTAATATATTTTGAACTCAGGTAGTCTGATGCTTTCAACTTTGTTCTTTTTACTCAAGATTGTTTTGGCTATATGGTGTCTTTTGTGTTTCCATACAAATTTTAAGGTTGATTTTTCTGTTTCTGTGAAGAATGTCATTGGTATTTTGGTAGCAATTGCACAGAATTCATAGATTGCTTTCAGTAATATGGATATTTTGCTGATACTAATTCTTACAACCCATGAACACAGGATATCCTTCTATTTATTTGTGTCTTTTTCAATTTCTTTCACCAATGTTTTATAGCTTTTATCGCAGGGATCTTTCACCTCCTTGGTTAAACTTACTCCTAGGTATTTCATTTTTTTGGTAGCTAATGTGAATGAAATTATTTTCTTGATTTCTTCTTCAGATATTTCATTACTGACATACAGGAATGCTATTGATTTTTGTGTGTTCATTCTGTATTCTGCCACTTTACTAAATTCATTTATTAGTTCTAATAACTTTTTGGTGTGTTATTTAGGGTTTTCTACTGATATGATCATGTCATCCACAAATTGGTGTAGTTTAGCTTCCTCCTTTCCAATCTGGATACACTTTTATTGCTTTCTCTTGCCTTATTGCTCTGCCTAGAACTTCCAGTATTATGATGAATAAGAGTGGAGAAAGTGAGCATCCTACTAGAAGTCATAGGGAAAACTTTACATGAAACTGAAGTAGGCAGTGCTTGAATAAGACTACAAAAGCATAGGCAACTGAAGTGAAATTTGACAAATGGGACTACATCAAACTGAAAACCAATAAAGCACAGGACACTATCGACAAAGTGAAGGGACAACCTTCAGAATGGGAGAAAATGTTTGCAAACTACACATCTACAAAATATAAGGAACTCAAACAACTCAACAGCAAAAAGAAACCCAATCAAAAAATGAACAAAGGACCTGAACAGACATTTCTCAAAAGAAGACATGCAAATGGCCAAAAGGCACATGATAAAAATGCTCAACATCACTGATCATCACGGAATTCGCTTCAGAAAGACCTAAACCCTGCCTTTTAACAGAGGTCACATATGAGCAAGACATTCTTATTCAGAATTATGTTTTCTGGCCCCCATGTCTACTTCTTGAGCATATCCTCTCAAGCTTTTCTGCCTCTGCTGCTTACTGCCTTTGGCTTCTGTTCCCAAATCTGACTCTGCTATTTCACACAATTTGGCTTTTATCATATTCTGTCCTGACACCCAAAAACTGATATTGGTACAAAGCCTCAAACCTATCCTCGTATCCTTGTCTCCCAGATAGAATATGAAATTTGCCAGGTCTGCTAAAAAAAAAAAAAAAAAAAAAAAAAAAAAAAAAAAAAAGAGCAACCTCATGGTTTATTCCTTGCAATAATCTAGGAACAGGTCATTCATTCACTCATTCGCTTACTCCTTACTCATCATTATTTACTCATGATTATTCATTTGTTTACTTATTCACTTAACAATTTATGGAACATTTACTGTGTGCCAGGTACAGTGATAATAAATGTCCAAAAAGCCATACCCAGACACTGCACTCATGAATCTATTTAATATCTGCTAGTAAATCAGTAAGTCTTTGATTTTCTTTATAGTGTCTTCCTTCTATACTGAGAAATGTACTGTGCAAGTGCTAAATAACTCAATCAAGGATTACAAAAAAGCGTTTAAATAGTTTTGCTAAAATATTTTAGGTTTTTGTAAATGTTTTATTTAACTTCAATTATCAAAAACATAGGACCTAATATTAAAGAATGTTGCTACCTGATGAAGCAGTACTGTGGTCAAGGCAACACAATCCAAACAGCCAGGCTGTAATATTGTTGGTGATGCTTTTTACCTAAAGAAAAGATGGTAAGTTACTGCTCATTTAAAGTTTTCTATTAAAAATATCATCTTCTGTTAAAACAGAAGAATTTAAGTAACACCATCAAAAGCAGGCTTAAATATGATACTTCAATAACGAGGATGAAGGAAACAATTGTAACTCGGTGTCTTTAAGAGCTGTTTGTTCATTATTAATCACAGCACAAGTAAGTGGCAGGCTTATTCCTTGACTCTAAATCTTATCTTATAGTCAAATATATAAGCTCATTCTGAGAAAATCCTTTCCTTCATAGCCTATGGATGCTGTTCTTACCTTCTAAAAGTTTCCTCAAAAATAGTTTCCTACATTTCCAAAATGATACAATCTGAATGAGACAGTAATAATGCATGGAATACCACCAAGAACATAAAACCTCTCATAATTAAATATCTCAATACTGTACCTACTCTAATTCTCAATAAATTTTATTCTTTTATAACAATGAAGTAACCAATGCTTAAGTTAAGACATACATATATATGCTTAAGTTAAAGCAATTTTAAAATGAACAAAAAATTGCAGGGAACTTAAAAATATACATGTTGTGAACTGAGCAAAGGTGAAAACAGAACATATAAAAAATAACGAGATGGAGCTAAAGTAGTGTTTATGGGGAAATTTATCATTTGAAACACCTATATTAAACAAACAAAAAAGTCTCAAAACAATAACCTCTGTGTCCATCTTAAAATAGGCTCAATGGAAATTGCTGGGGTGATGAAAATGGTCTAAAACTGGATTGTGAGAAGCATGCCAGGGACCTAGACAGGAGCCTCAGGCAACACACACACCCCACCCCTGACTGACAGCAGACAGGAGCACACCACACCACCAGAGGATACAAACTCTTCATGACTTTAAAAACTTCCTTTATTACTTAATATAATTATTATATACCTTGTTCCTATTTTTTTTTTTTAAAATGATTTTTACACTACATTTCTAAGTAAAGAAAATGAGGACTAACATTTCATGAAAAGCTGAGATTCTTGACTTTAAAGAACAGGAGTAAAGTCTTTTCAACAAAGTTTCCTGTAGGTCACTGCCTAAGACTAGAGGGACTGAGAAGGGTATGGAGAACTAGTATAAAGCTCTCTCAAAATCTTCCTCAAGAACTAATAAAGAAAGAAAGAAAAAAAAACAGCAAAAGAATAAGCTGCATAAGGGCAGACATCAGTCCTCATTAATATTTGAATTCCTGAGAGTTATCACCATTTGTAGCACGAACAGGATGCTTCAGTCAAAAAGTCAACGGCTAGGGGCCGGCCCGGTGGCGCACTGGATAAGTGCGCCGCTTGGGAAGTACAGCGGCGCTCCCGCCCGAGGGTTCGGATCCCACATACAGACCGGTTCCCGCTCACTGGCTGAGCGAGGCGCGGGAGTGACACCGAGGGTTGCAATCCCGTTGCCGGTCCCCGGTCCGGTACGGGGGCGACACTGAGGGTTGCAATCCGTTGCCGGACACGGAAAAAGACAAAAGACCAAAAAAAAAAAAAAAGTCAACGGCTATTGCAAGTCCAATTATAAACTTTACTTTTGAAAAAACACAAATCAATTTTTCTATATTATAAATCAAAGTCTAATAAGTATAACAATTTTTTAAAGTGAAATACTAATTCAGTAGAAGCAGATAAAATTTCAAAAGGTGACCTGAAAGAATAGTTTATTTCCAATTTGCATGCATGTTGCAATAACCTGAGTTTATGAATTATATTGCTCATGGACTATCTGAGCCTCAGTCATCAAGAAATAATTTTTCTTTATAATTAATGCTCTAAATTTGCACAGGAGACTTTGAACACATTTATGGCATGATATGTCAAAAAAAAACTTACCAACAAATATAGTGTTTTCATATTGCCCTTTGAATAATGGAAGTTTGCCTGATTTACATTTCATAACAGTGATTTCTCTAGGAACAGAATAATCTGACAGAACAAACTTAAAAGAAAAAGAAAAGATATACTGAGTTCATAGCAACATTAGTATGTGTTTTACTCACAATCTTATTAGATTAAAAAATGTTTAAATGAGGCATTTTTACAAAATGATTTGATAATACTATCACCTAATAATGAGCCGGATCTAGCCAGCCACCTGTTTTTATCAAAAAAATTTTATTAGAACAATCATACACATTCATTTATATATTGTATATGGCTGCTTTACACTTTAAGAGCAAAGCTGAATAGTTGTAATAGAGAATTATGTCCCTCACAGCCTAAAATATTAACCAACCAAAACTTTACAGAACAAATGTAAGCATGGAAGTATTGACAATACTCGAAATATACTTGTTTTTCTCCAAAGGAACTGCAAATATGTAAAATGACTCAACTCTTCACTGTAAATATCACATGACTTATGACTACCTAGTGTAGCCTACTATAAATTACAACCATAAACTATTATCAGCATTTTTATATTAAGAGAAAGAAAAAGAAAAGATCTGCACCGTCCTAAAAAGATACCTTAACCACTCTTAAAATGATTATTTGACCTTTGTGGAATTCCATAGCAGACTAAAAAGCTAAAAAAGACTTTTCAGATCAGATGTCTTCAAAGGAAATTTGAAAGGTAAGAGACCCACGCAAAACATTTTATCCTACAGGCCCATTACCTAGTCTTCCTATGACATTTCCTACATGAGATGTCAACAGACACATACACAATAAGTCCTTACCTTTGGAGTTCCTTGGATATTCGAATCTGGTTGTGTGGTTTATCATTTATTTGGTATCGCAAAGCATCAACTCGACCTTTTCGATGACCCCAGGAACAATTTCTTCACCACGCAATCAGTAAAAGTGAACTGAGCATTTACAATCTATCAAAAGATATTCAGAATTTCCTTATCTGATTATTTTGATACATTTAGTTATTATTAGAATACCAAAGATACTTAGAAATAGACAACTTATGAGTGTGCTAATTAAAAAACATATCCAAAATTACTTTCTGATGTAAGAGTCTGAGTTACATGATGATTTAGCTTTAATTATGACTTCAATATAACAAACATTTACTGTCTACTTGTGCTATCATTACGCTGAACACTGTAACCACAGAGGTCTCTCATTTAAGAATAATAAACAGAAAGAAAATAAGACAAACAGGCATACCAGAAATTAAAAGTTTAATAAAAGTCAGAACTGTCTTATGAATTACTGATTCAGTCTTCACAATAACTCTCAAAGGTGCTCACTGTTGTCATCATCCCTATTTCATATATGAGGACAACAGGTCTCGATAAAGTTCTTTTCCTAGGTCACCAATCATGAGTAGTCAAAGACCATGAGGCTTCTCTCAAGACCACTTCCTTACCGACTGAAGAAGGGAAGTAACATGCACACTACAAGGCTCAGTTGAGCACACACCTACAGTCATAACAACATTAATTCAACAAATTTTAAGACACCCATTGGGTGGTAGATATAAAATAATAAACAAGTCAAAACACTGATTTTTAAAATTGTCTGTACCTTCTCTTTCATGTCTGCACTGAGAACAGTTAAATAGAAGTTGCTGATTGTTTACTGGGAACTCAGAATGGCTGGGTTTGAATCTTGACCACCAAATCTACCAGCTATACCCTATAGATACATTAGACTTGGACTAGATACTCAGACTAGATACATTTAACGTTCCTATGCCTTGGATTTCTTTGTTCTATTCCATTTATAAAACAATGCTACTTACTGTAAACAGTTATTGTGAGGATTAATTAGTTGGCACACCTAAAACTTATAACAGGGCCTGGCACACAGTAAATACTGAATAAACGTTAAATATTTGAGTTAATATCTACCTTAATCTTCACAGTTCTAAGACGAACTATTATTATTGCAATTCTCATCTTGGATATGAGAAATATTAAGCTATAAGAGGTTCATGAATTTACGTATGGTCAAATAGCTTTTGGTGGAAGAGCCAAAATGCAACCCAGTTGTAGCCCATTCTCTAAAAGAGCCGCTTTTCTTCCATTTGGCTGGACATTCACAAAGCAGAGTCAAGGACTGGAGTTCTGCAGCGCTTAGACTACCAGTACAGTTGAACGGTTAGTGTGTGGCAGGGCAGTCAAGAGAACCCAGTCTCCTGATTCCTAACGTAGGGACTGCTACTAAACTAGGCCCTACTCAGTAGCTAAAAGCGAAGGGGCTAGAAAAAGGGACGAAGCAGAGAGAAAGAAAGGGCAAATCTGCGGCGGAGTGGTCCAGTACAATCTCCACCTTCCCCGTCCTGACGTGGGGACGCCTAGGCTCACCGAGGACGGCGGCAGCCAGGGCCGGGATATGTGGGCCAAGCAGGCCTATGAGGGCGGCCACCAGCTGATCCAAGAAGGGCGATACGATGGCCTCGTTCTCCTGGTCGAGGGGCGCGCGGCGCTGGCGCTTCAGGTCGAAGTGCTCCTGCAGGAGGCGGTCACAGGCGGCGGCGCGCAGGGACTCCAGGACCCGGGCTCCGCGGGCAGGGGCGGCTGACCCGACGGGAACACGGTCTCAGTGAAGCCCTGGTGCCGGCGGGCGGCGTTCAAGGAGAAGGCCTGTGGGTAAACCACGTACGTCATGAACTGCATCTTGGTGAGGATTCGCAGCTTCTCGTTCACTGACTCGGCCGCACGCACCGCCGCCTGCCAGCGCCTCCTTGCTGTCGGCAGTCAGGGAGGCCACAGTCGGAGGGAACAGTGCGACTGGTGTCGCCGAGACATCTGGGCCGGTCGTTTCTGGAGCTGTAGCGGCGGTCTCGGCAGCTGGGTCCAAGGACAGCCCCCGACAGCGCAGCACAAGCCTCCCACACCTGGCCGCCGCCATCTTGGCCCGCGTTTCCGGACCCAGGCGTCGACTTCAGAAATTGTCCTCACACTCTTGCCGTAGGGACCACTCGGGAAACGGAATCAGAGCCAGGCCTGGGGAGGCCGATTCTCAGTGGGCTTGAGAGACGTTGCGGAATTCATCTCTCAGCCAATCAGATGGTTTCTCCAAAGGTTATGGCGGTTCAGAGCGTTGGTCGATGAAACGAGCAACTGTGCGCGCGGGTTTTCTGCCGGTCTGGCTGGGACGGATAAAACCGTTAAATAGATGCTGCCATCTAGGCTGCTTTTAGGACCGGGGTTTACGAACATTCTGCACGGAAGCCTCAAGCCCTTGGCTACGTTTAGTAGTTTCATTTGTGTATCTCCCACGTCTTCTTTTCTGTTTTAGTTCCAGGGATAGAAAGTTACTTTTGAAAGTACAGTACTAGCTTGTTTTTCAATGTTCATGCTTAATTTAAAAATCATGCAAGCATCCCTCACGTGTGGCCACGACTCATCTTTGGGAAAATGATGGCATATATTTCTCTGTGCTAATATACGTATAATTTGTTTAATGATATAATTTATTTGAAGGGGGAGACTGTATTTTTACTTGGATTTAACTGGCAAAAATAAGATAAAATAAGGAAAATAGAAAAACCACTGAAGAATTGTGTTTCAATTTTGCTCTGCACTAAAACCCATTATTGTTTCAACATGAGTAGATTCCTACTAATCTGAGGTCCTTGAAGAAGGGACTGCTTTATTTTTTAATCATTAGCCACCGTGCAATACCTGTGCATAGTAGGTGCTTACTAAAACCATTATTAGATGATAAAAGATAAATGAATAACTTATCTGCTTAAGAAATCATGAAAATCAATTAAAATCTAAGCTTATTTTATGTATTAAATTATTTATTTTATTGACTCACTCTCCTACTATAATTAGAAACTAGATAATGTTGATTTGGAATTATTTCAATAATTCTTGAGGGTATTGAAAAACCAAACTTTTTTGTTTTTGCTAAAAAGAAGTTATAACTATGTATACTTTTATACTGTCAAATATTTTGTGATGTTCTTCTTGCATCACCCGTGTGACGTGATGAAGAAAAGAAAAGGTGTGACCGATGCGGAGCGTTTAACTTTATGTCCCTTGTGATCTATTCCACGTGTTTTCAATTAGCATTGACTATTGGTGAAGTAATGTTGATAAGATGAGGATGAAAAAAGGGAATACCAAGGAGCAGACAAATATATGATAATATTTTTTTTCTGTTTAATAAAAATACATGTACCATTAAAACAAAACAAAATATAGTTTTTTTCTATCTTGGGTGATCTGGAAGGAACCTTAGGGCCACTGTCATAAATATCCATTATCACTCTAGCCAATAGCAATCTAATAGACTTTAGACAGCAGGCTATATTTTTAAAATGTACTATAGAGATCCCAAGTAGGGAGACAGATGGGAAGGTGATTA